CCTTTGGCAAAAATGGCCTAAAATCAGCATTTTTTGCGGATTATGGCCTGTAACTCGCTAAAAATTGATCTGACGACAAAATTAGTTATTTTTAGAAATAAAGCTTGTTAAATTTCCTATAAAAAGGTTACTATACATTTTTTGCCTAAGGGCAAAGTTAAGCGCGCTGGCGGGCGCCAAACTTTGAAAAATGAGCGAAGATTGCGAGGTTTTTTTCCGGTTTTTTATTTATGTCTCCTTTTTTACCCGTCTGCAGAGTAATTTCTGGACAAATTAAGTAAAGATAATAAAATTCACACTGAGTGCCATGAATCGATGTAAAAAACAAGGAGCCGAACACATTGCAGTGTTGCCAAAATTACCTAAAATTGTTTGTCGGTTTTGGACCATTAATTGCCTTATCATCCGTCTATTTGTTTAGGCTCCATTTTGTACAGCGGGGATAATGAATCAAAATCAGCGGAAAGGAGGATAAATAATTCTTTGTCACATTTTTTAAAATCAGTTAATGAAAGTGAAACTCAAATTTCTCTCATACATCAGACTCCACCGCCAATTCCAACAGCATGCTCAGCCTCCTCTGCCGACATTGAAATGGCAGGGCCATCGGAGCCACGAAAGAGCAATCGCCTACGAATTGAAGGAGGCCATTGAATTCTGCATTTATTGTTGACGTGGAATAGGCCTGCAACCTGCACGGAAAATCATATTGTAAAAAACATTATATTGCCGATTTAACAATTTTGTGGTTAAAAAAAAGTTACTGACATGTTTCAATGTAGATTTTACCAAAAAAAATTGATAATTCAACCACCCCCCTGGCTTTAAGTAGCTTTCCGCTATTTTAGAATGTACATTTGAAAAATGTCGAGCATTTTTTTAACGATTTAATCGTCAAATCAGCAATCGATTCTCTTCCGTGTAAAAGATTGAATTCTTCTTAACAGCGCTATGGTTAAAATTTTCTTGGCAGCTGATGATGGAGTGACTGAAAGTTTGTGAATGTACGCGTGCACGTGTTTATTGGTAAGGCAATAATAATTAAAACAAACCTACCATTTTTGAGAAGAGAAATTTTTAAGAATTTAAGTTTCGTGAAAAACTTGGTCTCAGGTTGTGGGGACACCACGCAAAAATAAAATGCGCCATGTACTGGACCTCTTGGGTGGCGTGCGGAAGCAAGTACTAATAATTATATTTATATATTCTGCCTTAATATGTAAGTTACTTTTATATAAAACTAGTCGTGATTAGCTCGCTTTGCGAGCTGACACGTCTAGCCGGGGAGTGTCCCTGGACCCCAGTTCTACGCTTCGCGACGAACTTGCGACTCGCTCCGCGAGCCGCCACCAGCGAGCCGCCACCGCCCCGCACAGTTTTTAACATTGATGAGGAGACAACATCTATGTCTTAGTCTTCTTTTTCACCAAGTTTTACAGAAATTGATGTTCTAGGAGTCCGAACCGCGTTTTCGTGCGGGGCCGCCATCTTGGATTTGGAAATGTTGAAAATCTGACCAATAATGCGAGTTTTCCGTCGAAATACACCTCCTATTACCGAATTTCACAAAAATCGATGGATCGGAAGCCGAGATAACAATTTAGACCACGTTCGCCATTTTTGATTTTTGAATTTTGAAAATCGGACCTAAAATTCTAATTTCCCGTCGAAATACACCTCCTAATACCGAATTTCACAAGAATCAATCGATATCAGGAAGATATAACATTTAAGGCCACGGCCGCCATCTTGGATTTGGAAATTTTCAAAATCTGACCAAAAATTCGAGTTCCCCGTCGAAAAGTACCCTGGATCTCCGAGTTTCACAAAAATCGATCAAACAGGAGCCGACTTAGCATTTTAGGCCACGGCCGCCATCTTGCATTTGGAAATTTTAAAAATCTGACCAAAAATTCGAGTTTCTCGTCGAAAAATACCTGTGGATACCGAGTTTCACGAAAATCGATCAAACAGGAGCCGACTTGGCATTTTAGGCCACCGCCGCCATCTTGGATTTGGAAATTTTGAAAATCTGACCAAAAATTCGAGTTCCCCGTCGAAAAGTACCCTGGATCTCCGAGTTCCACAAAAATCGATCAAACAGGAGCCGACTTAGCATTTTAGGCCACGGCCGCCATCTTGCATTTGGAAATTTTAAAAATCTGACCAAAAATTCGAGTTTCTCGTCGAAAAATACCTGTGGATACCGAGTTTCACGAAAATCGATCAAACAGGAGCCGACTTGGCATTTTAGGCCACAGCCACCATCTTGGATTTTCAGATTTTGAAAATCCGACCAAAAATTCGAGATCCCCCGAGAAAATACTCCCGCATACCAATTTCCACAAACATTCGTCGAAAAATACCTCCTAAAACCTTACATTTCGTCTATAAGGCAGTGACGTCACGCAACAGGATTGAACCTGTTCGGCGCGATGCGCATAAACAACCGCGTATCTCCAATGTAATACTATATGGAGAAATAACTTTTCGCTCTTGCGGGCATCCGAGGCAGCGGATTTGAATGGAAATAATTTTAATCAACTCCTCATCACAATAGCTAAGCGTGTACCAATTTTAAAGGAAATCGCTTCGGCCAATTTTTATCTAGCGGGGGCAGAGTGAGTGGGAACAGCAGCTTTATACAAGGTGATCCAAAAGTCCCTTCCACCCCCTCTAACTTTTTACCTAATTGAGGTAAAGATTTGAAACTTGGGGGATATTCCTAGGTCAAAGGGAGCTACTTTTTGGCCCCCCTAAAATTTTCAGGGGGCCCCCCTTGGGGGACAACGGCCCCCAACTTTTAATTTTCAAATGGGAAGACCCCCTTTGTGATAGCTCGTTGGAAAGAGCATAAAAAAAGAAAACTTTTCGCGCAAACCCGAAGTCAATATCTCAAACCGTTTCAAAATGGCGGCCGGTTAAAGTTCAAAATGGCCGAAATTTCACACCGGTTATTTGTCGATGGATTTGCGCAAAAATCGGTATGAAGGGGTATTTTGACACGAGAAAAACGAATTTGACGTTAGATTTTCAAAAAAACCGAAATTTCCAAAATGGCCGCCGGTTAAAGTTCAAAATGACCAAAAATTGATTTTTTTTAAATTCTAAGTTCAAATTTGTTTATCTTATGCCAAAATACTCTCAAATTCCAAGTTTTAGGCAAATCCATCAGTAAAAAACCGAGGTGACAATTTTCGGCCATTTTAAACTTTAACCGGTGGCCATTTTGGAAATTTCGGTTTTTTTGAAAATCTAACGTCAAATTCGTTTTTCTCGTGTCAAAATACCCCTACATACCGATTTTCGCGCAAATTCATCGACAAATAACCGGTGTGAATTTTCGGCCATTTTGAACTTTAACCGGCCGCCATTTTGAAACGGTTTCAGATATTGACTTCGGGTTTGCGCCAAAAGTTTTCTTTTTTTATGCTCTTTCGAACAAGCTATCACAAAGGGGGTCTTCTCATTTGAAAATTAAAAGTTGGGGACCGTTGCCCCCCCAAGGGGGGCCCCCCTGGAAATTTTAGGGGGGCCCAAAAGTAGCTCCCTTTGACCTAGGAATATCCCCCAAGTTTCAAATCTTTACCTCAATTGGGTAAAAAGTTAGAGGGGGTGGAAGGGACTTTTGGATCACCCTGTATAGAGTAATGAAGTTAATCGATTTTATATAAATTGCCAAACTAATTCATACTTCGCATTTTTCGATCAATGCCATTTTCAACGAGCTCGATGTCCTGGCACAACTGCACTACAAGTGTCACGATAGAGCACTTTAGTGGACGCACGACCCTCTGAAGTGTCTCCACCTCATTCTGATGAAAAAAAATGTGATGTCAAGAATTATTTCATCCTCATTTCCGCTGATTTCGATTCATTATCCCCGCTTTACAAAATGGAGACTAAACAAATAGACGGATAATAAGGCAATTAATGGTCCAAAACCGCCAGCAAACAATTTTAGGTAATTTTGGCAACACTGCAATGTGTTCGGCTCCTTATTTTTTACATCGATTCATGGCACTCAGTTTGAATTTTATTATCTTCACTTAATTTGTCCAGAAATTACTCTGCAGACGGGTAAAAAAGGAGACATAAAGCAAAAACCGCGAAAAAAACTCCGCAATCTTCGCTCATTTTTCAAAGTTTGGCGCCCGCCAGCGCGCTTAATTTTGCCCGTAGGCAAAAAATGTGTAGAAACCTTTTTATAGGAAATTTAACAAGCTTTATTTCTAAAAATAACTAATTTTGTCGTCAGATCAATTTTTGGCGAGTTACAGGCCATAATCCGCAAAAAATGCCGATTTTAGGCCATTTTTGCCAAATTTGGCAACTTTCCGGTCCGAATTTAATGGCGCAAAGTTGCAATTCGGATTCACCATCAAAAATTACATGGGAATCGATGAAAACATTGCTACCCGCGATTTTTGCAGGCTATAACCCCTTTCATGGCTTATTTGCCTGGACTAGCGGTTTTCCCAAGACATGTTGTGCAACCGCTTCGAGGATTTTAGTATATTTTTTTACATAAAAAGAAGTTTGCAATTATGCTTTATCAAATGTGGGATACCCCTGAATAAAGTTAGTAACCCTATGGAACATCGGATATTCTTCAACAACACATCAACCTGAAACCTGTACCAAGACGACGCCCGTCCGCACACGTCAAACCTCACGCTCGAGTGAATGGAGCAGGAGGGCATGGTGGTCCTCCTCCTCCTCCATCCACCCTGCGGTCCGGATCTTGCACCTTGCGACTAGCATTCCAATAGGACAATTTTGGTGAAATGGGAACAACATCTCTGTTTGTGCGTGGAACATGCAGGAAAGTACTTCAAAAAAGAAAACAGAAGCTAGACTCATCAGATGAAGTGTAATTGAGTATGTTAACTTCAAAATAGGCCTCCATGCTCCCCTCCCCGCCTATTAGGGACCTCACTCAGAGTGCATAAGGTTAATAGTTAAAAGATGATTCAGTTAATATGGTAAAGAATGCTTACCTTAGTGACTGAATCGTTGACGTTTATGGCAGGGACTTTGAGTTTGTCTTCTTTGAACATTTTGTACAAATTATGTACGCCCGTTGTAGTTTCTTCTGAGATTCCCTTGATGTTGTCTAAATACTGAGGGAATTTCTCGTGCACCAAGGTTGTTAAATCACCACCATCATCCAAGATCATATTTAGAGGCTGAAAAAAAATGAAAGAAATTATGAGGAAGAAAAGTAAAACGAAGACAGTTTTTTAATTATATGGGTGTTTCCTCCTTCCTCAACTTTTAAATTGGAGCTTTCTTAGACAAACTGCACAGAACGGCTGAGTCTGCGATAGCTATAGAAAACAGAACTGATGGCATAATTACAGTAGATATGTTGAGAATAATGGGGTAGTTGCATGCAGCTAGGGTTATAGATCTTAGGGCTGATTTTAATAGAACTTTTCGCGAAAAAACCGTTTTTCGCATCTGCAAGTTCTGAGTTTGAGTCAAAAGCTCCGAAAAAATTCTGCAAAAACTCGCAAAATTGCGGTAAGAAATAAACGATTTCCATTGGCAGTGACGTCAGTTGGTATACACGGCCCCGGCCACCGCCATCACCCCTATCTCGCCGCACAATATTGCACCATTTGCATTAGCGGATCCAGCAAATTGGCAACATTGTTTTTCTCCGTTTAAACCTATGGAAATGTATCGATTCTTGGGGGGGCAAGGTGCTCCAACAAAAATCGATTATTTAACATAGGTTTAAATGGAGGGAATCCGGTGTTGCCAAATTGCTGGATCTGCCTCTGACCATTTGTCTCGATTGGCCGGTTGAGTAAACGGAGGAGAAGCTTCTTAGGAGTTGATAATTTCGCGTTGCAACATTGCGGAACGAAATAATACGGCCTAGACATACTTTTCCCTTGCGCTATCTTGAGCATAAGCTCAAACACAGCACTAGTCGCGAGTGGGAAAATGATATCAACAAGTCATTGAGGTTATAGTTGTGACTTTTGGTCACCGACGCCAAGTGAGCCCAACTCGAGCTCTGATTGGCTGCGACGCACAAACTTTGCCACAGCAGTCCGGGTGCACCCGAATCCGACGGACCGCACGGTTCCCAGCGGCGGTAGAAAACACGCGAAGGCGGAAAGCTCTATTTCATCTTTCTTTTTCGCCAGGAAATCATGATAGAGAGTAGGTTGTCCCAAATTTGAGCCATCCAAAAAAATTTCTCGGATCATCGATGTTCGGTGGTTTTATTGTGTCATTATGTCAAGCATTTAATATCCCCAAATTTGAGCGAAATCGGATGATTTTTAGTGCTGCCGCAACGCGGTTTTAGTTGCGGCGAAAATTTTTGAGACTCGCCTTCTTAGCGTTTTGGACGCAACTTTTAATGGTAGTTAGAAGCAATTAAAGGAATCAAGTTGATTTTTATCGTGACTTTGCATAGTATACTTTCAAGTAGTAATGTTTCTTTTGACGAAAAATCTATTTTTTGTACCCCCGAACATCGGTAGAAAATACAATGAAGAAGGGGTGTTCAACCGTGTTCCTCGAAACTGATGATGCGATGAACCTCTTCGAAAATGATTTAGGATTCAAAGCATAGGCAAAGTGAAAAAATTAACCAAGGGCAGGGGAGGAGGGTTGTCACTTGCAAAGTGAAGACCCCCCCCCCCACCTGTCAAGAATGTCCCCGCACTTAGCAATACGTAAGACAAGGAAAACAGAGAGCGTAGGTTATGATCAAGGAAATAATGGAGTATAATGGGTAATAGGAGTATAATGGTATAATATAATGGGTTGATCGACTTAAAAAAATGTTGCATGAACTTTAAGTCCTCAGTTTTAGGTCAAAATATTTAAGACCAAGATTATACTCCATTATTTCCTTCGATCGTAATCTACGCTTACTGTTTTACTCCCCTTACGTATTGCCAAGTGCGAGGGCATTCTTGACAGGTAGGGGGGAGAAAGTTCCTTCGTCAAACTTTTCCTGCAGAATCATCATCAAACATATGCTTCGAAATGATGCTTTTGTAATTT